CAGGAATAACGGCGTTTCTGTTTTAGGATATGTCAGCCTACGTGAAAAAAATCCAGTTCAAGTTGCACGAGAGCTACGGGAACCCCTTGAGAGGTGGGTTTTGCACCTGGTCCTTGTTCCTACAACTGGGATTTTGATTAGTTCCACTGGGGCTTTGTCACCCGTATTAACACTTCTATGTTTCCCACTGCAGTTGTTACCAAACCACCGTATGAGATCACCGAAACAGGCTGGGGTGAATTTGAGATCATCATTAAGATATTTTTCATTGATCCAAATGAAAGACCTGTAAGTACCTCGAACTTTTGACAGTGCTTACTTCGCTGCAGTGGCCTGAAGCTGCACTGTGGGATATTGCTGGTCAAAATGAGCCCCATCAGCCATGGAATTAATAGAGCCTGTGCCTGTAGGAGATGTATTATAAAACTGGCCATGTTTTCCTGTTTCTGTGCTTTATCTGCTGTCACATTCCTGACTGCTCTGCCTGTGTTTGGCTTCTCTGACATTTACTAATACGTGACCACGTGTTGCACCTCACCTGGGCTGAGCGCGTATTGAGGGTTTTTCTTCCATGCAGGTTCCTAGTTCTAGGATATTTGACTTATTTTAATTATCTTCTTTTTTTTCCTATTCTTGGTCTTATCAGACTGGGTCAAAACCAGTCAGAAAGCAGCAAAGGGACTACGGAGGCATTAGTCTCTTTCCTAACAAAACCAGGTTAAGGCACATCTCTAGTTGCGTAAATCATTGGAATGAATTTAATTCTTCCTATTCTTCCCATTCTGTGTTTTAGACATATAGTGTAGGTTTTTTTGCCTAGGCTTAGGTAGGAAACTCAGATACCGTATTTTAGGGGACGAGTTGTTTATTTCTGGAAGGACTAAGTTCCTTCTGTCGCACGAACTGCAGCACTCTTTTTGCTTTACCCATTTTTTGCCAGATGAGGGGAAAACTGAGTGTTGTGTTTTTCTTGAATACATGATAATTGACAGTAGAGTAGGAAGGGCTTCCTGTGCTGCCGTGCTCAGCAGCATCCTGACTTGTGGTATTGATTCTATTCACAGCTTGGCCAAGCTGTCCTAAAGTACTTTGTGTATTTTTAATTTGCTGCTGTTGGTGGAAGGCTGTTTCAGTGCCTGTCGGGTTCTTCCTTTCCAGGAGGTACCAACTGGAGTCAGGCATCGCTCTCTTCCCTGACCATTCACAAGCCTGTTCATGGAAGGGGAGAACTCTGTCCCCCCTTCCCAGGTCATGGTCCAAAGCAATCAGTGGTTCCTCAGGGATGGACAGAGAGCTTACGTTCCTCACCGGCTTCTGCCGTTTGCAGTGCTATAATGGAAGAGTAATGCTGTAAAGAGACGTTTCAGTCAGCAGCTCCTCACAGTCCCCTTCTGGAGTTTTCTCCTTCATAAGAAGGGTTGACATGGTCACAGAAAGCGCACTCTGATTAATTAGGAAAGTTGGTTTGGAGTAAACCACCTGTTTGGAAATGTTTAAGAGAAGGTGTTCTTGGTAGTTTTTATACGTTAATCCTAAACCACTTGCCCAGGCATTTTTAAAGTAGCATTAAATTATTTTAAAATCATCATGTTAAAGTATTTCAAAGTAACTCTGGATAGTTGGTGCGGTTTAAAAATTCATACTAAACTTTAGTCATCCTTCTAAAGTTACACAACATTTATTTTTGCATTTCTAAAAGATTTTTAAATCCTATACAATTGTTTAGTAGGAACAAATAGTGCTTGTTGATGTTCAGAGATGATGTGTATTTCTCTACAGTTGTCGAGCTAATAAATGTCTGTCTTTGCATAGGTAACCTTGTATCACTTGCTGAAGCTTTTCCAGTCCGATACCAATGCCATCCTGGGAAAGAAAACTGTAGTTTCTGAATTCTATGATGAAATGGTATGGAAGTTTTTAATATAATCCTTACTTTGCTTTGATGAGCATTAGTGATACCATGTATTTTTCTCCTTCATTAGATATTTCAAGATCCTACTGCAATGATGCAGCAGCTGTTAACAACGTCTCGTCAACTAACGTTAGGTGCTTATAAGCATGAGACAGAGTGTAAGTTGAAAATACTTCGATGTTAGAAACGAACAATACTTGGTTTTGCTTTTAGTGGGTTTTTTTCTGGGCTGTAACAGCACAGTGGTTTTGGATACTGCTAAAAGGTGGTGGGTTTGTGTTAGCTTTGACTTTTGCGAAGATATGAATGCTTGTTTGCAAACTTTTAAGATTTTCTGATCTGTGTGCCTGCTGAAAAAAAAGGAATTAAGGATTACTCAGTATGAAGAGTGATGACATGATCTACACCCAGTTTAACATCTTTGAAATGAGTTAAAACAGAGAGTAAATTAACATCACTGTATTTGTGAGATGGTTGTGTTCAGCCCATCCAGATGTTAACTGCATGCAAACTTTAAGCACTGAAATAGAGAACATTTGGTACTGTTTGAGTCAAAGCAGCAGCCCTTTGGGGATAGAGTAGTGTCTTGAAAGCTCTACCTGCCTTTTTCCCTTCTGATTCTTTAACTGTAGGTCATCTCATAACATGCTTAAGTATAACTTAATGTTCTTTGAGTCCTTTTTATCTAATCTGTCTTTAAAACTAAACCAGAATATAAAGGGATTAAAGAAATTAAATTAAAATACATTAATGCATAAAATAGGACGTATTTAGTGATGATTGCTGTTCTGATCATTTGGATTTCAGCTCTTTACTACTCTCAGAAAGCAAAGGTAATATTTATTGAGCCCAAATCCTACCTTGTTAGTTACAAACTCTAACACCATCCTAGTTCAGCTCATGTGGCCTTTGGCTCATCTGTGTGTTCCCCTGACAGCAAATGTTGTTGGGTATTTTTGGGCAGTGAATGTCTGGAGCCAAAAGTGGTCATCAGGTTGAAGCTCTACAAAGTTAGGGTTCCCATCTGCCTTGTGTCTGTTTGGGTGCATGGACTTGTGAGCTCCTTGTATTTTCTACCTCGGTTTAGCCTGCCTTGAGGTGGATTTTCCTTATGTTGCATGTTGTTACAGTTTATGTGTAGAAGATGTTCAATAAGAAAGTATTGTCCAAATTTAAACTTTTCTCACTTAAAATTTCTGGATGTTTCTCCTGAGAGTAGATAGAAATTTTAGTGGGTTTTTTGTGGTATATATTCCCTTAAAATGTGCTACTGAAGCAGGTAAAAGTGAAGTTGGTTGAGGTTTTTTGCCATGATCCAGGATTATGTAATGTCTGGGATAGGAAGGGATATCCATGGCCTCCCTCGTGTATTGGCTTTGCCAGCTTTGTCCAAGAACTTGTGCATGAACAAATTAAAGATGACACCTCAGCAAAGCAGCTTGAGATGTTCTAATGTCAGATATTAGTAAAAGCAATGGCAGCACAACTAAATCTTTTAGATACATAAACTCCAGTGAGGCGGAGAGAGAAAGTGGTTACAGTACATGGAGAAGGAACCACAGGATAGTTGGGGAAGGGACCTCTGGAGGTCATCTGCTCCCTCCACTCTGCCGAAGCAGGGCCACCTACAGCAGGTTGCCCAGGACCATGTCCATGTGACTTTTGACTATCTCCACGGATGGAGACTCCACAACCTCTCTGGGCAGCCTGTGCCAGTGCTGGGTCACCCTCACAGTGAAAAAAGAGTTTCCTGGTGTTCAGATGGAGCCTCCTGTGTTTCAGTTTGTGCCCATGGCCTCACGTTCTGGCACTGGGCACCACATACAAATTATCTGTAATCTCCCATTTATTTGCTGTCACCATGTCAGGGTTTGGTTTTTTTCCCACTTAATTTTAAAAATGATTTAATGAATTACAGAACTCCATCCACAAAACTGAGTGGCTGAATGAGGCCCAGCAATGTATTTTATTTATAAAATATATTAAAATATGTTTTTCAGGACACAAACCATCCAAATTGCATCTGTTGCAAATTAAAAAAAAAAAAAGGTCACAACTTTTCATGGTACTCACAACATTCACTCTCTTTATCACCACCATAGTTGCAGATCTTGAAGTGAAGACCAGGGAAAAGCTGGAAGCTGCCAAAAAGAAAACTAGTTTTGAAATTGCTGAGCTTAAAGAGAGACTAAAAGCAAGTCGTGAAACCATCAACTGTTTAAAGAGTGAGATCAGAAAACTGGAAGAAGATGACCAGTCTAAAGATATGTGACAAGCACTGACTTGATAAAGGGCCGACTGCACTCTGCAGATTTCACTTGCAGGTGATGGAAGTGTGTGACTGTTGACTTCATAAGTGGAAGAAAAAGGAAAGAATGTACCCTTGGTTTGTAGTTAAAATCTGTGGGTACTTAACAGTTTATTTCAAGTAGAAGGTGTCTTGGAGACCAGGCTACTTGTTTGTTTTTAAACTGCATTTGAGTGGTATATGAAAACTTATATAAAGTCTCCTATTAGTTCTATGTGATTTTACAAAATGGTGGTGTTTACTTTTTTACTTGTTTTTGTACTGATGGTTTAGAGATGCATCTTTAAAGCTAAAAATAAAATATGTGGGTTTTTAGTATTTTTTGGTCTCTGTGCAGTTGTGGGCTTCAAGAACAGCTGTAAACAGCATGCTCTGATTTAAGGCAGATGTTGAAATAATGGTATGCAAGTTGCTTAAGCCTGGTTACAGTGATTTCTGCATATCTGTCTGGTATCAGCACAGTGAAGACAGGATTTTAAATAACTTATATCTGCAGTAAGAGTTTCTAGCCCCACGTCTGCTTTAGCACATACAAATGCAGCAATTACACGTTATGATCAGAAGCAGGAAATTATTCCAATCCTGTTTTGTAGAAGTTTGTTTATTATTTGTACTCTATTGCAGCCAGTGCATCACACATTGTCTCTGCCACTCCTTCCTCCTCACACTTTTCCACTGCTCCAGCATGGGCTCCTTCCCATGGGCCCCCATGAACTTCTCCCATGTGAGTCCTTCCCACAGGCTGCAGTTCTTCACATGCTGCTCCAGTGGGTCCCTTCCATGTGTGCAGCCCTTCAGGAACAGACTGCTCCCACCTGGGTTCCCTATGGGGTCACCAGTCCTGCAGCAAACCTGCTCCAGTGTGGGCTCCTCTCTCCAC